CCCCCCCCCCAGCAAGCCCCCCCCCCCCCCCCAGCAGCCCCCCCCCACGACATCTTGCGATAGCATGGCCGGCGGCACCGGCATTGTCACCGCCCTATCCCACCGCCATCCATGCATCCATGAAAGTAGGCAGAGGAGCACCGCTACCGCTACCGCTACTGCTACTGCTCAAAATCGCCGTAAACCCTAAATGCCGCTGTACGGGGCCCCCGGCGGCCGTCCGCAAGTCCAAAATAAATCCCCCTAGCTAGGCTGGGCTAGCAAGCACAAGCATAGCGTCGAGGCCACGTTTTTTGTCTTCACGGGCATTTCCCCTCCCCTCGATGCAGCCCCCCAGCCAAAACTCCCACGCACACGCACACGTCCACTGACCCACAACACACCAACACCATCAACACCGTTCGCCCCTCCCGCACGTACATGTAACCTACGAGCGCACGGAAGCCTGAGCACCCACCCTCCCTCCCCACCACACACCCCATCCTCCTCCTCCTCACTCCAAGCCGCCGCCGCCGCCGCCGAATGCACCTCATGCACCATCAGCGGGGGCACGGCAGCACATTTGGGAGCTGCGGACGCCCCTGTACTGCACTGTACTGCACTGTACTGCACTGCGGTTCCGAGCCGAGACATCCCCCCCTCCCCCCGCCCCCATAGACACGTCCTAGCCACCCCGGAAGTCCACTTTCAGCCGACCTTCACATCACCTCTCCATGCCCCACTGACATGGTGCTCAACACCTTCCCCGCCTCCTGCGTGCACCCCCCGGCAGCACTCCCCCTCCCCAATCTCGCCCCCCGTCCTTCCTTCCCACTCCTTCCTCGGCTAGCTAGCGCTCGCGGCCCCCTCCGGCCCCACCAGCCGCGGCCACCACCATATACGGCCAAAGTCTCCGTACACCCCGGCAGCCTGCACATGCGTTTCCTCCTCGCATTAACTACATACAGACGTACACGCATGGCGCTCGTCTCCTTCAGCCCCCCCCCCTTCCCCCCTTCCCTCCCTTCCCCCCCTCCTCATAGCGCCGGACCCCATCCCCCGCCTCAACAGCGTTTCCACTTCCGCCCCGTCCCCATCCCAGTGCAGTCCAGTAAGGGCAACTAACAACCACCAACCACCAACCTGGAACGCAACTCGCAGCCGCCGATGCCAACGCGCCGCTCTGAAAAGCAGCTGTAACAGCATACATACATACATACTTACTTACTTACGCAAGCACACACACACACACAGGCACTCCGCACCCTGCCAGCCGAGAGCCATGCCGTGTCTCCCCCCCGCATCCTGCCCCGAATGCCTTCCATTTAAGCCACTCACGTATGTACTTACATACATACGTACTCATATACATACATTTCCATGCAGACGCGAGCCAGATATTCCCGTGATCTCCAACACGCGATTTGTACGACAAGACACGTGGCGTGGGACAATCTGGAGAAGGGAATGGAAAGGGCTCCTTGTGTACGCATGCATGTAGGTACTTGCATGCGTATGTATGTATGTATGTACATGTGCGCGTCTGTCTACAAACCACGTCAGCTATCCAGCACGCCAGAACCAGGCGCCGTACAGGGCTCCGGCAGCGAGGGCGTCCTGGGGCCTGTACTGCAGTCCATGGCGCCCTTCGACCCGCCAGTGGACCGCTGCCCGCTAGACATGCCGTACAGGGACCTGCTGCTGTACATTCCTTCCCGGCCGCCCGTCAACGTGCCACTGTTGGTCCCTTTTTCAGCCCCACTCCGGCCGTTGCCGCTGCCGCTGCCGCAGCCGAAGCCGGCGCCGCCGGTCGCCGCCCCGACAGGCGGCACCGAAAGACAGTTGCGATCTGCTCCGAAGCTGCCGGCGGTGGCGGCGGCGGTGGACCCCCGAAGCAGCGACGGCGGCGCCGACATGATCGGTCCGGGGCTGGTGCCCGGACCCACACTGCCGCCGCCAGGGGGGGACCGCGTGCGGTCTAAAGAAGATGTCGGAGAAGACAAAGGCCCGCCACCTCCGCAGCCAGCTCTCCGACTTCTTCTTCCGCCGCCGCCGCCGCCGCTGCCGCCGCCGCCGCTGAAGAGACTGTCGTCCGAATCCGAGCAGCTGTCGCTGAGGCCGATTTGCAGCGGCGG